CCCCATCAGTCTTTCATAGTTCACTTGGTTTCCAGCCAAGTACAATGTTGCAGACTCACCTGATACATTTCCAAACCTCAATCCAGAAATAGTAATTCTCCTAAGAACCCTGTTGTTTCTGTAGAATACAAGCTGTGCTTACTATTAAATTGCTGTTATTTCTAAGAATTTTCAGTGTGTTGGGCCAGGATATTGGTATGTTTTAGAAGAGAAGAAAATTGTGGTTTCATTCATTTTTTTAAAAATACAAATTTAAAATTATAGAACTTATGTTAACTTTTCTGATTTATATTTTTATTTTTTCTCTGACTCTGGACATCAAAGTTGGTAACAATATTCACAGTTTTATTATTCACTTAATTTTATGATATATTTATAATAGGTTTGAAATAACAACACTGATAATATTACTGAAATTAAGAAAATCTAATGATCTTTAAGATTTCTGTGGTTTTTATCTTTAAGGTATATCACACAGAAAATGTGTAGTCAAAATTCTGTGTACTAAGGTTACATGGAATAATTTCTTTGTTTTATGTCATTGTTTTATCAACTTGATGTAGAGTTAGATTCATTTAAGTTTGTTTTCAATATTTAGGTGTTATTCTTTATTTTTTATATTTAATTTTGTTTTTATTTATGTTCTGTCAATGGTCAATTTTGGTAAATGCCCTGTGTGCTTGTGATTAATGTATTTTGTGATACTGGGTGCGGTATTCTGTTTAAGTTCTATGTCAATTTTATTTATTGTGTTATTCTATTTTTCTATTTCCAATTGATTTTTTTGGCTGGTAATATTGGTCACTGAAAGAGATGTGCTAATATTTCCTATCATAATTGCAGATTTGCATATTTCTACCAGTAGTCCTTAATATTTTACCTGTACTTTGCAAATTTATCAAAGTTTGCTTGATGTATTTTGAGGCTATGTAAATTAGGACTTGCTTTATCTTCATGGACATGAAATTTTATCACTAGGGAGTCATCTTGTTTGCGTGCAGTGTTGCTTTTTGTCTAAAGGTCCTTTTTGTCTGTCACTGATATTGCCATGCCAGATCTGTTTAATATTTGAATGGTGTATCATTTTCTATATCTTAATTTGGTTTTTAATCTTGCTGTAATTCTACATTTTTCTTTAGACATCTCTCCTATTAGAGATTAGAAATTAGTTGAATATTTTTATTTTAGTCTGATATGATGAAACATTTATTTGGAGCCCTCAGTCATTCCATTTCACATAATTCTTGCTAGACTGAATTTAAACCTGCTATCTGATTATGTGCCTACTTTTCAATGTTCCTTTTCTTTTTCTTTATAATCTTGGCTTATTTTCATGGATTTGACTATTTAAAAAAATCAATTTCTGTTTTTTCCTATATCAGTGTGGAGTTATAGGGTCTGTTTTTATCTTTTAAAAGTCGTCCTTGAAATTTTAGTGTAAGTACTGAATCCTGCACAGTCTAAAGTTCTGCTCTCTGTCTGGATTGTACAAGTGTCTCAGAGCACTGTGACTCTGGCCACTCCGTCTGATGCATCTTCTGTTATTTTCTTGTATTTGCTTTCCATCTTTTTAGAACTCTAAAAATATTATATATTTGTTTTAGACAATCAATATTCATTTGGTTTTAGCATAATATTTATCTTTTTGCTATTTATTATTTTTCATAATCTGGAGATTCTACTCAGGATCAATTTTCTTCTGCTGAAGTATAGCCTTTAGTGATGTCTGCTTATGGTAGACTCTGTTTTTAGCTTCAATCTCTTACTGGTTCTGAATTCTAATGTGGCAGTGGTTTTGTTTCAGCATGCAGTCTGCTAACTTCACTGCTGTTTTTGAGAGGTCTTCTGTTAGGCCTTTTTTTCTCCTTTGCTACTAAGAATTTTTTGTTTTGTTTTTGGTTTTCTGTAGTTTAACTATGTCACTTTGTGAATATCTTTTTATTTATTATTATTCTAGTTTGTTGGGCTTCTAGAATGTATGTATTCCCAGCTAATAGTTCCTCAAATATTGCTGCTACTCTGTTGTCTCACTCCTCTCTTCCTGGGATTTCAGCTAAATTCATTAGACCTTCTCAAATGTGCTGTATATCTTTTTAGTTTGTATACTTTTGTCTCCTTATGCTGCTATTTGGGTACTTTCTTTTGATTTATCTTCCTATACACTGATTCTCTTTTCAGCTGTATCCATGGTGATATTATAGTTTATTTAACTTTGTAAAAATCCTCAGTGAGAGGGTTGGTCCAAATAACATAGATCATGATTGTTGGAAATGTAGGTCTTTGATTATATCTTTAAATATGTTTTAAAATTTTTTATTTGGTTTATTTTCTTTAGGGACAGAAGTTATGTGCAATGCAAAGTTCTTTTGTCTTACTTTCACATCTCCTGCATCCATTTTTTTCTCATTCTTTCTACTCTGTATTCATTTTAACTGTGATCACTTTTCACTCCTCTTCTTTTCATGTTTATTTTCCTTTTACCTGCTTCCAGTTTGGACTTAATATTTTCTATTTTATCTGCCTTAAAAAAACCTTTGCCAGGTCATAATTTAGTTCCTTATATTTTCCTACCATGTCTTCCTTGAGGACTTTTAGTTTTCTCTTTTTATGCTCACAATTTATAGAGGCAATTGTTTCACTGAGATTTTTAACTTTATAACAATATTTTTGGATCACAATTTTGACCTACGCTATAGAAAGATTTTGGTGTTCCTCCTCTAATTTCTTACCCTGTTAACAAAAAAGAAAAATCTCTTTTTTTAAAATTAGAATTTTAAAAGTAGATTTCTATTCTATTCTATTAGAATTTTAAAAGTAATTTCTTTTTTATCAGTCATCTTTGATGGAGATGAGTTCTCATTGGCTCAAGGACTCAAGAGAAGTTTGCTGTGATTGACCGCACGTGACTGTGCTAACAATATATCTTAGTGGCATACTGCTGTAGGCAGGGATGAATTCTTACCTTTACCCATCTTCCTTTGTGCTTTCTCCATCCTCCCAAGGAGCTAGTACAGATTGCAGGACTGCTCTCAGATGCCTCACAAGCAGCAACTTCTTTCTCCTTATAGTCCTGATCCGTGATTCTTCAATAATTTTGTCATTCGAAGCTGCTTATGCATTGAATTATGTACAGTGTATTCCCTTCACCAGCTTGTGCACCCTATTCTGTAACTGATAACAAATGGTTGGCATTGTGCTATAGAGTAAGCTTCTTACTTGGGAGAAATTTGTGCTGTTAGCCTTTCCTAAAATCTTCAACAAAGAGAATTCTTTCTCTGTTTTTTTTGAACCCCTGATAGACCTTCAATCCTTCTGTACTTCTTCCTCCTAACTTATATTTTGAAGTTTCAGATGTCTCTTAGATTCATGGAAGACATTGTTTGTGTTTGCATTTCTCAGTCCTTATTTTGATTTTGAAGATTTCCAAGAGGAGAATATGAAGCCCACAGCACCATTTTAACACCAGAAGGCAGTCTTTCCTCTTGCATACAAATGGCAAATTAAGGATCTGTATTTATTTAATAAAGTTTCACAAAGAGAAAATAATTAAACTGCAAATAAAGAAGAAAATGGAAATCAGGGAACATGGAGTTAATTCAGGCAACAGAATAGAGTAGTAAAAAGGCTTATTAATATGCATAAAGCTATGAATAAGATTATACATGAACAGGAGCGGGCTGTTACGTAAAGGGGACAATTAGTGAACAAAAAACAAGTCTTTGAAATTAAAAATTAAATATAGAAGTTGAAAGGTAGGGATGATAAAATTTCCTAATATTACTATTAGTACAAGCCAACAAAACATAAAAGAGACAAGATGAATGTCTTACAGGATCGCTGTAGAAGACTCAGCATCTTATTAATACTGGGTTGCAAAAAGAGTGGACAAAGAGCAGGGAGGAAAGGAAATTGCAAATAGCATAAGAATTTTCTTTAACTGAAGGACCTGTATGTCTAGATGAAAAGTGTACCTCAAATGGTAAACATAGTAAGTGATGAGAAAGGCCTGCATTGTGAAATTCACATCCTACAGAGAAAACCCACAGGTTTACATGCCAAGCAAAAATAATTAGAATGGCATAGGACTGTAAAGTATTGGATAATGGGAAGCAATGGCATATGCCTTTAAAATTTGAGGCTAAATGAATTTTAACTTAGAATTGTACACCCAGTCTAAATATTAATTGTGTTGATAGCCAGATATTTAAGGGCTCAGAATGTTTGTTTTCCACTCATCTTCACTATGGAGGTGTTTGAAGGATGCAGGAAATGAGAGATGAAGTCAAGGTAGAAGGAGACATGGGATCTGGAAAACATCATGATCCAAATCCAGGGAGCTGCTAACAGAAGTCTGAGGTTGACAGCTCTTTGGGCTTAGAGTGAGACCATCTTATTGCAGCAGTATGCCGGAGGACTCCAGGAGTGCAGCTGAGAATGTATGCTGAGTGGCTGACATATCACCCAAGAGAAGCTCAGCCACAGTCTCTCATTTTAAAATCCATGGCACAGCAACAGCTAGGCCTGCGTGGAGGAGGTGTCACCTTTTGGAAACAGAACTTACATGATTCAGCAGCCCTGAAAATGCTAGGTTAGAAGTGGAATGCAGGTGTCAGGCTGAAAGCCTGTGAAATCTGATTTTCTACCTAAGGAATTGCAGTCAGGTCCTTGTGTATCCAAAAACCCATTCTTTCGATGCCAGCCATGGGTGAGACAAGGTTGAAATTACTGATCGTGCTTTCCAGGTATAGCGGGGAGGCACGTGAAGCTAGATGGAGTCTGGAGACCATGGACATTTAGGAGTGGAGGAACCAGAGCCGCGAATGATAGCCAAAGGGTAATGGGCAGGGGGTGGGGAAGAAATACTGGATCAAAAAGGGAAAGCTCTGAATGGGGAAAAGGCGTGAGTTCTGTAAGTTCTCATCTATTGTATTCAGGTTTTCTGATTTTTCTTTTCTGTCTTTTTTTGGTCAGACTTAGTATTTGCTTTTGTTTGTTTCTAGAGAGATAAACCCCTTCTAATTATGGAATACTGGGTCGGCTGGTTCGACAGATGGGGAGATAAGCACCATGTTACAGATGCAAAGGGTGAGTGTTTTGCAGCGTTTGACTCCAGGAAGAGATGGCCCGGGGTCCCATGAGAACTCATTCATATAGTTCTCTGCTAGTTGATTCACCTGATCAGTCGTAGATATTCGTGTAACCTTTTATATACAAGCACTCAGCCAGACGCTGAGGATGCCCTGGTGGATAGAAATTACGTGGTTCCCACCCCCCAGAGGGTATAAGTTAGTGAGGTCCACAGGTCATTACAAAGCAAAGCCATCAGTACAGCCAGTGCTCGACTTATGACCATGGTCGGGACCGTGGGCCGATCATAACACGATTTGGTCGTAAGTTGAGTAGGCTATATGTACAGTTGAAATGGTGCACGCGGAGATGGTAGTGCTGCCGGAAGCTGGTCCGCACTGTCGTACGCCCAGCTGGGCAACATTTGCGCTGCCAGACTCGGGGCAGTCGTGGCTAGCGATTGTGGTCGTAAAGTCTAATGGTCGTAAGTTGCATAGGTGGTAAGTCGATCAATACTTGTATATAGTTCCGTGTTTGGCGGGTACTTTGAAGCAAACAAACAGGGTGCAGTGATAGAAGAGAGACCTGCCCAGGTAAGGTTAGGTGGTCACAGAAGGTTCTCTGACAGCGCAGCATCTCTGAGGAAGGTGGAGCATTAATCATCCCTAGCAGTGCGTCGGTCCTGTCTGTGGCTCTGTCAACTAAACACTAACAATGATCAGGGGACAACTTGCAGCGATGGCCAAGAGCATGGATCCTGCAGCCAAAGAGATGAGGTTTGAATCCCAGCTCTGCAGTGCTAGCCATGGGACCTCAGGCAGGTTTCCTTTGTTTTAAGTCTCAGTGACCTCATCCAAACTTGAGGATTATCATAAAACTGACCTCATGGGGCTGGTGCAAGGATTAAGAGCTGCCACTTAGAGCAATGCCTGGCAGTCATTTACTTAACAGCTGTATGTGTCTACAGAAGATGTTTGGAAAGTGCTACAGGTATCGATCGACTTACCACCTATGCAACTTACGACCATTCGACTTTACGACCACAATCGCTAGCCACGACTGCTCCGCGTCTGGCAGCGCAAACGTTGCCCAGCGGGGCATACGACAGTGCGGACCAGCTTCCGGCAGCACTACCATCTTCGCGTGCATATAGCCTACTCAACTTATAACCAAATCGTGTTACAACTGGTCTGTCGGAACAATCGTGGCCATAAGTCGAGCACTAGCTGTATTATGAAAACAAGCCCACTTGTATCCGAAGTATAGAAAAACATTGAAAAATACGTAGGGACTGGGAAAAGCCTGTTTTGGGTTAAAAACAGAAAAAAAGTCCAAGTGCCACTATCACCCCTGATAACAGCAGCAATAGTGCTAGCAACGATAACAGTTTTCTGGTCTCTTGTGTGGCTGGCACTGTGCCATGTTTCCACAAATACTACCTCATCAATGAATGTTCTCAGCAGTGTCACGATATCGTCGGAATGAATATGCTCATTTAATAGATCAGGAAGCAGTAGCACTGAGAAAGAAAATAGATTTTCCAAGGTCGTACAAACAGTAAAGAGCACAGCCAGAATTGACTCCCACTCTAAATGACTTTTAATCTTCTTCCCACTGTGGCCAGTGGAGAGATGATTGTACCTATTAAAACGTGGTACAAAATAGACGTTTCTGTGGCCAAAGATGAAGAGCAGCCACTGTGGACCACTGTAGTGTTTCCAAGCCAGTGTTCCCAGAAACAAGATACTGGAAGGTAGTAACGAGGCTATACTAATTATATGGATAATTTCAAAAAATTCAAATTAGATAGTTAAGTGACATGAGAGTTCTTAGGCTCTTAATTAATAGGTATAGTTTAGAGTCAAATTATGTCAATACTTTGGAAAAAAAGTTCACAGATCTCTTGGGATTGACAGGATTCGGTGTCCTACAGTAGTTCTGGCCAATTCCACCCATTTCTTTGTTGCAATCTTTGTAGAGGTTGAATGATAAAACATTTGCAGTAGGTCTAACGTTGTCAGTAGGTTATTGGAAACTTTAAACAAAATGATGCACAGCACATCCTCACATAATATTGTTTCCTTCAACATTGTGTCATGATAAAATTGAGAAAAAATTCGGTTTTGTTAGATAGCATTTCACTTAAAGTCTCCATTTCCAAGAACGTATAGACAGTTGTGAAGCAAGAAATTATTGTAACTGATTGTGGGGTGGGTTGGAAATGATAAGAGTTTGCTAGAGACTTTTGTCTCCTCTTAATTTTTAACATTCTCTTGTGTTCTCATCTCCCCCGTCTGCAGAGATTGAACATACTGTATCTGAATTCATCAAATATGAGATCTCCTTCAATGTGTATATGTTCCATGGTGGAACCAACTTCGGTTTCCTGAATGGGGCCACAAACTACGGGAAGCACGCTGGCGTGGTTACCAGCTATGGCAAGTGTCTGCTGGTGCAGTAGCCCCTCCAGCATGGGTGGTGCTGGGGCTTTACAGAAGAGGCTCTGGAAGCCTGTTCTGGCATCACTGGGTCCTTGACCTATAATCTATGCTGAGTACTGAGGATTTTTCTATTTTCCTTTCTTCTGTATGTTCATAATGACCCAACAAGCTGTCATGGCGGTAGAGAGGGCTTTCGGCAACTTAGAGCTCGGCTTCATGCATCTCACACACTGCCCTGTTGGCTTGAACCTCTGAAGATAGGCGTGGTAAAAACGGCGACTGCTGTAAAGACACAGGTCGGCACAGCCGGGCAATACAGACTGAGCAAAGAAAAGAGTATCCACTGCAGGGGTGTCCAGCTTTTTGGCTTCCCTGGGCCACATTGGAAGAAGAGTAAGAACTGTCTTGGGCCATACATAAAATACATTAACACTAATGATAGCTGATGAGCTAAAAAAAAAAATTGCAAAATGGTTTAAGAAAGTTTATGAATCTGTGTTGGGCTGCATTCAAAGCCGTCCTGGGCTGCCTGTGGCCCGGTTGAATAAGTTTGCATTAGAAAGTGAAATGGGGGCAAGCCCAGTGTCACAGAGGCCTTAGGACGAGTTGTGGGGAATGTCCCTAGATTGGCATTACACACTCACGTGGGACGGAACGTGTCTAAATTGGTGTTACACACCCATGTGGGCTGGAGCATGTCTAGATTGGTGTTACACACCCATGTGGGATGGAATGTGTCTACGTTAACTTTACACACCCACATGGGACGGAACGCGTCTAGGTTGGCGTTACACTCCCATGTGGGATGGAGGGTGTCTAGGTTGGCGTTACACTCACATGTGGGACAGAATGTGTCTAGGTTGGCGTTACACTCCCATGTGGGATGGAACGTGTCTAGGTTGGCGTTACACTCCCATGTGGGACGGAACGTGTCTAGGTTGGCGTTACACTCCCATGTGGGACGGAACATGTCTAGGTTGGCGTTACACTCCCACGTGGGACGGAGGGTGTCTAGGTTGGCGTTACACTCCCACGTGGGAC